GGAGATTGTAATATCACATTGTAATATCCAACAGGGAGTTTTGGGCAGTCTAATCATGCTACCTAAAATAATTTAGGATAAATTACAAAATAAAAGAAAAATACCTGCGTGAAAGAAACTTGAAGCAAAATACAGTATGCAGTTTCTGTATTGGGACGGTGATGTTCTGTGCTAAACATAACGTACAGAACATGCACAAAAATTATCACTTTTAACAAAAATCAAGTGCAAGCCGGATTACATCACACGCGCTTCGTCAGTTATAAGTGATCGGTTTCAGCTGGTTTATTTGTAGGACAGGTGGGTGTTTTGGCTAGGGAATTAAACATGACGTGATTAAGATTATGAGATGAAAAAGCATTATCTAGTCTACAATGTTTGTCCTCGGGATACTGTTAACACGTTCTCGATCGAAGAGGTCAGCGATGTTAAGCCTTCCTGCTATAGTTTGGCCTGAGATGCTTTCAGTAAAGTAATAAATAAAGCCGTTTGCTTCCTAAAGAATGATGGTAGCTCGCTCTATTTCTCAATTTAATTTGCACAAATAAATTCATGCATCAATGACTGTCCAAGGTCCAGGCTTTCAATGGACTTTGGTGCATTTTTATGCACAAGTCAAACATCTGTACGTTTAAGTACAGAAGGACAAGGTTTGGAACATTGCGTTTTTAAGGGGTTGCTTTCAAAGACAATTGCGTCGCATATCTGTTTGTGCAGAATGTGCCAAATTTTCTAACTATATCAGTTTTCTGCATGGTAACTTGGTATGTACACCGACAAATTGTGAAGAGGAAATTCGACTGTTTACAATGTCTGTTTCCGGAAGGAAACAAACAAAAAGAAACTGGATAAAATCAAGGGGAGTCAGTCTTGAGGGAAGACTCGAATAAAGATGAAACAGTTGCCAATTGTGTCTTTAATAATGGCTTTTTGTATTGACTTTATTAGCATAATTGGGTCCATGATTGATACCTGACTCGGCCAGTAGCCGACTGGGTCCTTACTTCTGGAGCTGTGCTCGTGGTCTTATAGAATCTAGGACTTGGACTTGGGCAATGAAATCCGGTACGTGCACATTATATGCCTTTTCACTGTCGTCTGTTCTCGGTTGATGTGGATGAGGGCTGGAGAGAGAGGGGGTTAGATGGACAGAGGGGACACGGCGGGGGGGCGGGGGGAGTGTGATAGGGCGGAGCGTCATGAAAGAATTATTGTTCCTTCTGGAAACTAATTACTGATATTGCTGCATTGTCTTATAACATTATAAGGACCATGACTCAACTGTCTGAAACGGGTGAGTTACTTTCTGACTCTTTGCTCTAACTTCAACCTTGGCAGTAAATCCCAGTAAATGTGTCGTACATTATTTTATGTAATTATAATTTTCTTTCCCTAAAGTTTCGTGCGGGACAAGAAGTCCTGTTGCAGTAAATTATACCCTTCAGAGTCTTCAGCCACTTCCAGGCCATAAGGGACATAAGGATCTCGATGAGATCAAACACAAGATAACGGCACTGTTATGTTTATCTATTGTTGTTCTGGTAACATAACAATGGCTTTTAGAACTTGTCACTGTTATCAGATTGGATTTTTCCCATGTATGTATAATTAGTTTTAATCGCTTTCTGTGTTTAGAGGGGTTCAAAGTTTTTCTTGAGTGGAACAGTCAGCAAAAAGACAAAAAAATAAAAATAAACGATGACAAATTAGGTAAAAGAGCACGAGGTGTCATTCTAGAATGCATTTACATGGCTTCATGGGTTTCGTCTGAGAATGTCTGACCTGTCACGCCATTGATAGATCGATATTGGCCCTAATGTTATGATTGCAGAATTGATAAAATACCTGATTAAAAAAGAACAAATGGTCTTGAATGGTCTCGCAAAATTCATCCCTTTCTCGCCGGAATTACCTAACATGTTTTATTTTTTCGGATTGGTCGCTCGCGCAAATTTTTCCATTTACGAAACACGAGTTGAAAGGGGGAAACCACTCCGTGTGATATTCTTTATATGCGTGTGATATTCTTAAGTTCGTGAATAATATTTCTGTCAAGACAATAATGCAAGTTGCAGTTTAAGATGACTCAATAATTTTGGTTTGAAATATGTTTTCCGGCCTGTATGAATGTCTACATTCTTCTGCTTTTATGTGCCATAAGAGCTCGTCAGAGCGACTTTCAAGGGCTTGGGTTTTAAAACACCCTTAAAACAAATAGACACAGGTAATAATATAAGCGGCTTATCTAACGCCCTTTTGCACGTTATATCAACAAA